AGAAACCCCCTGGAACCTACATGCATTTAGTAGATTAGAGAAGATTTCATGGAGAAGGATGAAAATGAGCTGTGCCTCAGATGATGCTGAGGAGTTGTAACAGGGAGGCCAGGTGGCATCTTTGCAATTATACTAAGGCAGGAATGAGGCCAATGTCTTCTGAGAGGAAGTATACCAGGTGGACTGAAGAATAGGAGGCAGGTTCGTTTGAAGGATAGTTGAAGATGAGAGGACAAAGTGGGTTCAGATTATGGGAGTCTATTTGATAAGGCTTTGGAGCCATATTTGGGGATATGACTGGTTCTATATGTTGAAAACCCTGAGCGGGGGCTGGAGATTGGGGGATGGACCCAGTCAGTATTATTGGTAGGAAATCTTAAGTAGAGTTTAGAATGTGGTTTTGGAGAACATGATGGGTGTAGGTACGGTGACCAACTGTCCTGGCTTGCCCAGGACTTTTCAGTTTTAGCTGTGAAGGCCCCATGTCCTGGGAAACCCCTCAGTCGCAAGCAAAGCAGATGGCTGGTCACGTTAGGAATAGTTCAGACAAGTGACTGAGATCGGAGATCCAAACCAGAGTGACGCATTAGTATGTTAACAAGAGAACAGAGCGTGACAACCAGAAATCCAAAGCAATTCAGAGCTCTGGTAGGCAGTCAGTGGAATTGAATTATATTTTGACCGAGAGCAATTTGACCAAATGAAATTCAGTCAAAAGCATCATTGTCATAGCAACTTTATGTGGCAGTTGGGTTGAAATAAATTTTGAAAAAAAGGAATATTGTAACCACTGGTTTTCAAGTTTTATATCATGATAATAATAGTTAACAACAACAACAACAACAATAATAATAATAGCAGCAGCTACCATTCATGAATGCTTACCATATGCCAGGCACTTTACCAGATTTTACAGATATTCTCACTTTTAATCCTTACAACCAGCCTGTGAGATAAGCACTGTTATTTTCTTCATCTTGCAAATGAAGAAACTGGTGGTGTGGGAGATTAAGCTGTTGGCACAGTTACACAGCCAATCAACCGCAGAAAGAGACTTTGAACCCCGGCCAGTCCAAAGCCTGTGCTGTTTAGTCACTATGTGGTACCACTTCCGGGTATCAAGAACCAGGTCTGTTTATTATTTATTGTTTTCTTTTACTACAAAAGTAACCCCTGTTAATTCTAGAAAAATTGTAAGGTATGATCTAGCAGAAGACTCTGCAAAATACTTAGAATTACCTCTACTTAGAAGTAAGCTCTGTTAACATGCTTGTTGGTATCTTTTTCTTTGTGGGGCACATTGTTATGTATATATATATATATATACACACACACACACACACACACATATATGACATATATTTTTTTTTCTATAAAAATTACATCTGGTAAATTTTAAAACCAACTGCTAGGCATTTAATTTATTCCAACTTCTGTTGTTGGACATTTATGCTACTGCAGCTTTTTGATGCTACAAACAGCTTGCAGTAGAAATAATTAGCTGAAAATGATATACAAATAAAGCAAAATGAAACAAGACTAAGAGACAACAAATTCAGAATGATGGACAGTAATGTAAGAGTTGGATAACAGTTGTAAAACCATTCACTCTATGTTGTATCCTGATTACCAACACAATGAAAACCACTGGCTGAGGAATATTTGCTTTTGGGGCGCCTGGGTGGCTCAGTTTGTAAAGTGTGGGACTCTTGCTTTCGGCTCATGTCATGATCTCAGGTTGTGAGATCAGCTCCCCCTCCCGTGGGGCTGTGAGCTCAGCGTGGAGTCTGCTTGAAGATCCCCCCTCCCCCACCCTCTGCTCCTCCCCTAACTTGTACTACTGCACCCTCTCTCTCTCCCTCCCTCTAAAATAAATAAATAAATCTTAAAAAAAAGGAGTATTTGCTTTTGAACAGATCATCATATTGAACAGCCTTCTTTCAGCCAAAGCATTTTTTTTCAAAGATTTTATTTATTTATTTGAGAGAGGGAGCATGAGCAGGGGGAGGAGCAGAGGAGGAGGGAAAGGGAAAAGCAGACTGTATGCTGAGCGCAAAGCCTGACCTGGGGGCTCAATCCCAGACCCCCAGATTGTGACCTGAGTGGAAACCCAAGAGTCTGATGCTCAACCGTCTGAGCCACCCGGTGCCCCCAACTCAAGCATTTTCAGGAAAATCACCAGGAGCCCATAACAGGAACCAAAAACAGGGCCCCAGACCCCAGGCAGAGTTCAGGAAGGTGCTAAACCCTAACATGTAAATATAAAGAGTGATTTTCTTATGGAGGGAACTGTGTTCAGGGGAATAAGCCACAAACCCGATGACCAGAAATGATGGCTTTAATAAGAAGTAAATTTCAGAATCAAAATATTAGAACAGTCATCAAAGCTGGAACACAAGGTCAGAGCCAGGCTAACGACAACAAGGAGTTGATGCTGAGTCCCAGGATTTTGGGTCAACACCCTTTAAATCCTTCTTGCCAAAGGGCACAGAATTGGGCCCGGGGGTGAGCCTACAGGTGAGGAATATTGCCCCAACAGCTCAAGAGAGCTCTGGAGATTAGGAATCTGGCAGGTTCTGGCAATGGGAAGTTTTGAAGGAGAACAATATAATGAAGAGTTGTTATGTGATTAAATTAGTGAAGTGTAGGGAAGGAAGCAATTTAAGAGGATACTTCTTAAAACTACTGTGGTAGCAAATGAAAGGAAGAGACTCTTGGTCTGGGTAGTGTTAGGAATTATATGTCGAAAGGTATCTATATATTTCTATTAAATAAATAGATTGGAGTAATACCTGTAATGACATTCCTCTTTGTACCATATATTGGCATACAGGCAAAACATGTAGTTGGCCCTTGGCGGCTATCATGCTATTACTTTTCTTAAATTGAGGTTTTAACTGGTATATGAATTTTTTTTTATTATGGAGTCCCTAACTAGGCATGCTGTGTCTTATGATTGCAATTTAAGTTAATAATATCATGCTTTAAAATTAAAAATTATCTTTTCTTGGTGCTGTGGAGGCCATCACAAAATTGATGATTAATATTCTGGAAAGACGTTTCAATTAAATTTCTTGGATGTTGATCAGATAAGTGCTAAGATTTATGATTGTATTCTGAAATCTTCATTAGGTGAGTCCTTTGTTGCTTTGGGTAACTCTTGGCGAGTGGTTTCCAAACCCTGGAAATTACCACTTCTGGGTTAATTTAAAAAGAGACCACTCCTTTGCTGAGTGTCTACGTTGTTTTTTGTTTATTTCTGTAGCACAAAGAGTAACAATTGTGTAGAAGTTAACTGTGTTCTTAATTAAAAATACTTTTGTTTTTTGTTTATTTCTGTTGCACAAAGAGTAACAATTGTGTAGAAGTTAACTGTGTTCTTAATTAAAAATACTTTGTATAGTTTCTGGAGGTTTGAAATTCGAAAAACTTCCAAGGATGCTCTAAATATTATAGAAACATCCTTTAATCAACTGTAGCTGATGGTTAGATTTGTTCAATGCTTTGAGCTTTTGCATCAAGCCTTTCTTGACCAGAAATGACAAATATGATCATCATTTCTGTCTCTTGCATGGAATTTTCTAATGTATATTGTTTTAAAAATTACAAAGATTCTGTTCATTGTAAAAACCAAAACAAAAAAACCTAAAACGGTATTGAATATAGACTACTTTTCCTCCCAGCCTCCAAATGATAACTGTATAACAGTTTGATGCATATTTTTCCAGCTTTTCCCAAGGGTTCTGCTTGTGTATACATATCTACACACACACGTAGACCCGTTACATGTCCCCCTTCCTCCCCTCGCCCTTCTCCCTCTCACCTTACCTATTGGCCCTCGTCCTCTGTCTCTTCCTCCTTAACAAGAGTGTGGTGATAATGCCAATCGAGAGAAGGCTTTGTTCTGTGTTCTCTCCCTTATTGAATTTCACTCCTTGGTGGAACTTATTCTTCTTGTCCTTCCCTCCCCTTGCCTACCACCAAGGTTCAAAAAATTCAGGCTATGCTTTGCTTCTTTTATCCTCAGCAGCCAAACTAGGAGCCCTCCCAGAACAAATCCTCAACTATGTAAAAGACAGCAATTCTGGGTGTTTCTCCTGGGCACAGCGAGCTAAGCAGCCCCAGTTCTGGCCTCCCTGGTGATTGGCCGAAGGCCCAGAGGGGCTTTTTGTACCAGTTCATTCCAAGTGTGAAGTTTCTCTGGGGTTTCCTTGGGAAGTAGGTTCTTCTTTGTAACTTTTTTTCTTGTGTCTGTTATGGGTTGAAATTTCTTCTGCAGTAGTTATCTATCATTTCAACCCTGATTTCTAATCTTCCAGAATTTTCCAAAAAAATTTTGATGTGTTGATAGTGGAACTTCCTTTCCTCTCTGTTCTCCTATCATTTTAGTGGAATTTAGGTACACATGATGATTCAGTCAATTTTTTGAACCTCTCAGGTGCCTGGTCTTTTTTCTATTTTTGGTCCAGGTTTTTGGAAATTCTTTTAGGGTTCGTTTGCTGTTCCTCTGACTTTTGTTATAACTTGAAAGCTTTTTTTTCTCCAGTTTTGGATTTAATATTAATTGTAATTAGGTCACTGATAGCACACTGTTCTCTGGGTGCAGAAATGACACCATTACTTAACAAATTTCTTTTTACTGCATTTACGGGCCTCCACAAGGTGTTACTGCATTAGGCAAATTAACAATGTGAGATTCACTTTTAGAAATATAAATAACTAGTCTTTCATTTGATATATATAAATGTCACTATCTGTAATATATATATATATTTGTATTTTATTTGCCAGGTGACTGAATATTGTCAGTTTCCTTTTTCAGTATCTAGATCAGTGAGAGCTATGAAAAAAAAAACAGATGAATAGTCTTTCAATGGGCACATGGAACTCAATGTATCTTAAAATGTCATTACTATTAGAAACAAATGAATGGTTCACCGTTTTTTAAATCATTGAGATATATTTGTCATACAACAGCATATTTTTTAATTTTGTCTCAGGAAGGAGAAAACATTTTCTATTTGGCAATTGAAGATATAGAAACAGATACAGAGCTGCTGATTGGCTACCTGGACAGTGACATGGAGGCCGATGAGGAAGAACAGCAAATTATGACAATGGCCCAAGAAGGGGGAGTTAAAAATTCTAAAGGACAATCAACAGCTGGCAGAAAAGGTATTGCCTGTAACTGGTGATCTGAGAGAAGGGAAGTTGTAGGAGAAATACAGTTTGAACTGCTGGTGCATTATAGTTGCGTTATCATAGGGGGTTGTCAAAATAGTTGTGGTCAAAACGACTGTCAGAGGCTATCCAGCTGTAAGCCCACTTTTCTTCCAGCAGGAGGAGAATGCTGGGTGTGGGTGATAGATGTACCCTGTAGGACTGCCAAGGTCAGCGCCAGCTCCTGGCTCGTGCTGCTATCCCTGGTACAGTGGGGTGGCGAGCGATGAGGAATTTTGTACTCCAGCCCTGGATCTGCCACTAGTCAGTCTTGGAACCGAGCAAGTCACTAACTCTTGGAGACGTTACGTTCTCATCTGCACAAGGGGAAGGGCGAGTGCAGAGGTGTCCAGAGGGTGCTGCTGGATGCTGGGCCTCCCTCTTGTTAGAGATCCTTGGAGAATCTGGAACTTCTGGAAATCTCTTTCTGTTCTGATTGTAGAGGCTTGCAGGACTGTTAGGCTGTTTCAGTTGGGTAACCAAAAACAGTGTGTTGGCTGTAGGTCTGACCTGCTTAGAGCAGTCCTGCAATCCGGAGATGTCGCTTGTTTGCCATCTGCTGGGGAATAATCGATTATTAGTGGGACTTGTTTCTGTTACATTGTGTTTTACTCCTGATGGGGTTTGAAAGAAATATGAATGATGTTATAAGTATTCACATTTTGTAATAGGCTGAAATTTACCATAGGGTAGTTTTTCATTTTGTTTATTAACAAAGCCATTTCAGAAGTGACACTAGCTTCTTTAGTCACCATAGCAGTAATGTCTTTCATAGGAATTTCCTATTCTAACTGTACGTTACTGGCTGAGAAAGTATAAGCGTTCCGAGCATTGCCAGCTTATTGCTTCTGTTTCTTTATTTGAGTTGGATTATTTAAGGGGAAGATGAGGATAGGCTTTCTGTTCTTTCAAATATGCATTTTGCTGTTTTGCATTTCAGACTTTGGGTGATGGGGATTATTTCTGTATTATTCTGTGTTTTCTTTTTGAGGGGTATATATTTATGTGAATTACAATATTACTGACTGCATTCCCTATGATGTACTTTTTGTATTTATTTTTTTATTTTTTTAATGTCACCACCCCTCTCCCCCCGGGCATGTTATTATGGTGTGCATTATTTTAGCTTAAAAATGAGTCTCCTGCTTATTATTATCACCCTGATTTTTCTTTAGTTAACAAATATCAAATTCGCTTCGATCAGATTTACTTCTGTAAAAATAATCAACAGAAACTTAAATAGATTTTTAAAACACATGTATCAGGTACTTACATTATTAACATTATTGCTATTTTTATTTTAGAAATCAGTTTTTATTTAATAAAACCATCCCCCCAATAAAAAGTCAAAACACAGAATAACAAACCCACAACACAAAAGAAACAAATAATCCACTCCAATGTCAAACAATGGGGAGTTTAGTTAAATAAATATGGAACCTTATTTTTTTTAATAGAGAAAATGTTGAATAAAAAAAAGAGCAGCAGAAGAAATTGCATAAGAAGTATGATCATAAATATAGTTATTCTTAGACTGTGCATAAAATGTGAATGGACAAAAGACAAATCAGACTTGAGAATATATTATTAAGCGGTTGTCTCTTCCTTATGGGATTATTGGTCATTTTTATTTTCTTTATATTTTCTAAATTTTCTAAATCTCATCTTATTTAGTAATCAGAAAAAATCTGTAATGTAGATAGTGTACTTTGAGAAATTTCGGTGGAGCTTTGACCATCCATAGGGACTGACAAGCCAGAGACGCAGTGGAGCCTCACTACACCTGCTGTAATGATTGCTGTTTTTTTGACCTTGGTCTTTTTCACATATATGTGAGATTCCCCTTGGTGATTCCATATTGTTTGCCTTGGTTGGATTTTTTTTCTCTTTGTGCACTCAGTGAACTCAAGATGACCCATTTCAGGGAAAACTTTTGCTTTCTCATTCAACATTTGTAATAACTCTTTGATGTGAAAAGTGAACATTATAGGATAAATTAAAAATTGGTTTTGATTTGTATTAATTTGCCGAAACAAGAGAAAGGAATTAAAAGACAATGTATTTCTCTCTGGTAACACTTCCTATTATTTTTCGTGGACAACATTATTAATATTCGTAGAAGTAATAAGCGTTTACTCTTCTGATACTATTAAACAGAATTAATTTTGATTTTAAAATGAAGATAAAACTGAGCAGTTCTTGGCTCTTGATTTTTGTCTTCTAAATCTGTTTCCTTGTAAATGTGCAGATTGCCTTGGCCGTAAAGAGGACTATGCTTGTCCCCAGTGTGACTCGAGTTTTACCAGCGAGGAAATTCTTGCTGAGCATCTTCAGACATTGCACCAGAAACCTACCGAGGAGAAAGAATTTAAGTGCAAGAACTGTGGGAAGAAATTCCCAGTTAGACAGGCTTTGCAAAGACAGTGCGTACAGCAAAGAATATCTAAAATTATAAGCTAACACTTTTTTAACTATTCCATTTGATTTGTTTTACAGTTTTTAACTTGTGCATGTGTGCATGTGTACGTGCGTGCGTGTGTGTGTGTGTGACAGAGATAGGATGGGAGGAAGATAGTAAACGTTCTATATTGTCATTGTCATTAACTTATCTTTTCTTAGTATAATATGTTGATTTTGAAACATTCTGATTATGAACTTCAACAAGTGAGCATTGTTTATGCTGATAAGTCTGTCCATTTAATTACTTGCCATTAAATATCAAGCTCATTGGTTTACTAAGCTGAAATTCAGTTATGCATAATTTAGTTAGTGCTCTGAGGTCACAGATCAAGTTTCAGTTGTCTACATTTGATATTCCCTCTGAAATCAGTAAAAGAAAAGTTTAAGAAATGGAGAGAGTTGAGAGTATAAAGAAAACAGGGACATTTTAGAAAAGAAGCACTGTTTATTTCATAACAATTTAGAAGGAACAATTTAATGATGAATAGGTATAGGATATGACATTAAGATGAATTAAATGATCCCACACATTGCTCTGCACCCTTTATTATTTTGACTTTATATTAACAAGCATATAAAGTTATCTTTTCACTTAAATATTTTACACTCATTATTAAAAGTGAGAAGGTAGATACATATATTTTTATTTTAAGAATGTCACCTTGTATATGAGCAAGAAATCTTTAAGAGACTTAATATTTCATTTTTTACTCATTAAAGTAAAATTCTGAAACATGATATATTTTATATTAAGACAATTTTCACATATTATATGCATCCACTTTGCTTACAAAATTTAAGATGAAAAATTTCTGCTCAAAACTTAAACTTAAAAAAAAAACTTTTATAATAGCAAGAGAGTAAACACTTAGAAATTCTGTTATAGGCTCTTGAAAAAAAAGCAAGGGCTGTACACTTTTTAGTGAAAAGACTTTAAAACTGCAGTCTAGTCAGCTTTTATTGAATCTACACCAAAGATACTTTTGCTGAGCTGGGTCTTACAGTTAAATTAGGTACTATTAAAATTTTAAAGGGCAAAGACAGAATGAAAACAGAGATCACAAACATGATTTTATTTAAAGTAGAGAGATTTTCTTAAGTTTTTGTCTTACGCTTCCAGTTTTTATTTCTTTTTGTTTTCTTTTTTTTCTGTTTCCCCTCAGTGTTCTTCAGTGTACGGCAAAAAGCAGTCTGAAGGATTCTTCACGAAGTTTTCAGTGCTCTGTTTGCAGTTCTTCCTTCAGTTCAGCATCGAGGTTGTGTTTCTGAGTTCTCAGATGGCTGTTATCTAATTGTGGGTCATTTTTAGCATGCGTGCTTTCCACGCTTTGTAGTGACTTAGTATCACAAGGCTGCTGTGGGAATTTAAGTACTTTCCTTTTTCCTGCCCAGGTAATGCATGAAATGACCCAGAAACGGGGCTAGAGAGCTTGCATTGCAAAAGCTTGCCGCGACGTAAGAATTATTTAGGTATGGCTTCACCATCTCTTCTCCCTTTTCCCCTTGCCTGGTTGTCTTGCAGTTTTGAGCAGCACCAGGAGACCTGCCGGGGAGATGCCAGGTTTGTGTGCAAGGCCGACAGCTGTGGGAAGAGGCTGAAGAGCAGGGATGCCCTCAGAAGACACCAGGAAAACGTCCATGCTGGTGAGAAGTCCCTGCAGGGTCGTTTCTAAAGGGGCCTCCTCTCCCCGGGCTGCAGTGATCTGTTTTTAATTCTTGCTCCCAAGGAGAGAGCTTGCTTTTCCATCGGACTCATACAGATGTGGAGCTCTGGCAGTGGACTTTTTTCTTTCACCAAACACTATTTCTTTTGCAAGTTGATTTCAGCAGTATTTGTCATTTTTCGTATGTCTAAAGTAATCTTAGCTGGAAACCTAAGCTAGAACCTACTGGAGCTTGGTAGGCAGGTCTATTAAGAATTAATATTTTCAAATAAAAATTTAAAGGTGAAATACAAAATTTCTCTTTACGGAGATAGATTTTAAGACTGTTACATGATGGCTCTTGTGCCTTAGTATTTTTACAGTAAAATTCCATTTTTTAAAATTTATATTTCTTCTATATTGGAGAAAATTACTTACTGCATTTTGACATGGGAATTGAATGTATTTGGGTTAATAGAGCAGATGCTGTTTGAATGCCTTCTAATGTCCAGCTAAACAATAAAACAAATACAACATTTGACTGTCACTTAGATCGTATCTGTTTAGCACATGGTAAATGTATTTTGGCTTAGGGATTGAATCTCTTGCACTGAGTTGAACAGACGGCTGTATTGTCAGAGTTAACTTTTCACTTCTTCAGTGTCTTTTCCTTAAAGGAGGCCGACGTTCGTGGAACTCCTCCCAGCCGCCTGTATCTATACTTGTCTCACGTGTTTACATTTGCTCTTGGCTTCTGGGAAATGTGTGGAAAGATGTCTTTCTGGATGTGGGGAAAGTGGATTTCTCTTCTCCCGTCTTGTTTATTCTCACATGCGTGAGAACGGGATGATCACTACTCAGCTTCTGTATCCTCTCTTTGTTCATTGTCCAGAAAGTGTCTCCTTTAATGTTAAAGTTATATAGAAGCGAGTATGAGTGTGACTACTGGCTCCCACTTGGCATCTCTGTTTGGGCCTCAGATTAAGTTAGAACTCTGTTTGAAAGCTCTAGGTGGTCGAAAGTATGGCCTTGGAAAATACAGCTTCAGGATGAGATCAACAGGACTTTACAGTATTCTAACTTCTTTTTTTCCTTTTGAAGAATATATGGCTGATTTAGGGAAGATGGCATTTTTCTGAATTCATTATACTGGGCCTTCCCTATGCTTACAAAAGGCAAGCATAACTTTTTGATAGACCTGTCTTTGTAGTTTTTTTTTTTTTTAAGCTGTTATGTTTAAAATGCTGTTCTTAATTTTCTCCATCTTTGTCTGCAATGTATTACAACAAATCTTTCATGTCATTTTTAAAGTTAACTTTGCTGAACTAAGTAAAAAAGCAGATGCATACTGAAACTCTGGAAACTTGCATTCTTGTTATTGGGCATGTGGTCTTCAGGCTGTGCTATAAGCATAATTTCTTTGAGGCTTCTTGTAATTGGCCTTGGATATTATAATATTACTGATTCTGGAAATCATTTTGACTTTGTAGGAAATAATTTATAAGAGGAATTTTTTTATATTTCTATGTTGTGGAAACATACAAAATATGGAACGTACTATATTAGTCAGAGGTTACTATATGTACCTTTTGTTGGGATCGGTACACAATCGGTCTCTCATTCATAGCCCCTCTTTTGCTTCTCCCCTTTCTTCTATGAGATACACAGACATTTGGAGAGAGAATATTCCACATTCAGAATAGCGTAGCAAAGCAGTGTTCACACACTTGATTGTAGAATGCTTGGAAACATACTTAAGCCACATTGTATTGAAAATCACAGTACTTAGGTGACTGTGTATTCAGTACAGCTGTATTAATTTCTCCTATATCTCCTGCCATCATAAATAATGTGTTCCCGAATTTTTTGAAAGTTGAATCTGGAAGTAAAAAATCAAACTTAACTGAATATAGCAAAACTAAAATAGTATAAAGTCTAGTTATGGCTTTGTATGTGCTGTTGTCCTTCAGCCTAGGGAAGCTGGTAGAGTGGTAAGGGCCTTCACAGTTACCCAAGAGGAAACAGAGAAAGTGAAGGGGCTGGACTTTCCTAACCCACTTCCAGTTTTTTCTTTTGTTTAGAGTCTGCGGGTACTAAAACCAAGAGGTTTTGTATTTATGGGAGATAACATTTGTCTGTACTCTCAGGCAAATTGTCATAACCTTTTAAAATATATATATTTTTTTTCTCAAAAGAGCTAGGATTTCAGTCCTAGGATGACGAATAGAAGACATGAGGAGGAGAGGAGAGGTTGAAGAGTAGGGATGGGGGTATGGTATACTGCCTGTGATTCCAGCTGGAGGGACAGTGGCAGGAAGATGAAGCTAAAGTAACAGGTGTGGTTGGGAATGTCTCACTTCTTTCTGTTCTTTCCCTCAGGCTCTGACCTACCTTTTTGGAAAGGTTAGGGTCTAGTCTCAAGGAGCAGCTGGTATGAGGGATAAGATCGAGCAATAAAAGTTTATGGATTGAAGGAGGGAAATGCCCGCTGGTGGGAGCTGAGAAGAAGGAATATTCTTTCTCAGTGGCCCCTCATGTATTCAGTCTATATGTACAGAGATACTTATTTTGTTTGGGAGAATTTTCCCCTTCAGTAGCCAAAGTACTTGTCAATCACTAAGAAAAATTTTCTTGGCTATAATATTCAGCATGCTAAAAGCAGTGCATTATATGAAATAAGTAACTTGAAGGATAAGACAAAAATTCATATTTTCCTTTTTCTAAAAGTGTTTTTCTTTCATAAACACAGGCCTATGATAAAATAAAATCATTTTGGAAAACTTTTTTTTAACTTGGTTTGGATTGTTTTCAAAATAATGGATAAATGGGGGAGGAGATGGGGTTGAGGTTAAGGCAGGAATAGCCATGGATTTGTCATTGTTGGGGCCAGGTGATGGATACATGGTGGTTCCTCATATTATTTGTTTACTTTTTGTATATTTGAAATTAACTAATTAAAAATTGAAAAAAAACCACTCCAGTTATTTATGGTAGTGCAGATGGTGCTATTATTACATCATATTTGAAAAATGTTTTATTGAGTCTTCATTTCTACAACCACTGTGAAATTTGAAATATGAAATGAGCTACTATGATCACTATGTAGGAAGACAAAATTGGGCTTGTTTTGATTTGTATATTAATATGAATGTCAATATAATGTTTTATTGTACTTGATTTTTTTATTTTATAATATTAATATGAGAAAGTATATATTCATAGATTTTGCAGGAATCTAGTGATGGAAAGAATAATCTATGAATTCCATCTTAAAAAACCCAGAATGAGTTTTAAATATTTATATAATACTTATATGTTTATATATAAAAATGATATATTAATAATATAATATTAAATGAAATATTCTGTTAAAATTTAAAGTAGCAAAATCAGCTTGAGTTAATAAATCTAATTTTTATAAACACATTTGATTAATTTCAAGTAAAATTTTTCATGTAAGTGCTTTTTAAAAATTTTACATTAGTTTATGGAAAGGTGAAAGACCTATTTTATTTATGTAGAAATGGTATATCATGCTGAATATTTTTCAAATTTAAAAAGAAAGGGATTAAAATGCAGTTTAATGGATATAACTATAACCCTGAAAGTTTTGGAATTCTAAGTTAAGAAATATGTGTTTAGAAACATTGTATCTCATATCCTCCTAATATTCTCATTTAAATCATGTTGGCATTTTATTTTCATTTTAGGAGATCCTAAGAAAAAGCTCATATGTTCAGTGTGCAATAAAAAGTGTTCTTCAGCCTCAAGCCTGCAGGAACATAGAAAGGTCAGTAAGATAAAGATTAATGCTCATCAGAGTATAAGATCTTTTAGTCATTTATAGCGTCTGCCATGAAAATTTTTAGTTGATTTTTTATATTTATACAGACAGAGCTTTGTCATTAATTTATATGCTAACATATTCTAAAATGCAAGACTGATATGCAGAAAAGTAAGGTCTTGCAAAAATGTATTTTGAATTGTTTATCACTCAGAATTAGTAGAAATATTTCTCCATTGCAAAGTGTTACATCTAACTGAGCCTTTCACGGCAACACCTCACCATGGTTTCAAGCTTTGTCAGTTGCTGTTTGCTCAGGAAATACCATACATTTGATGAAAACTTAACAGTTTTGTGTATTTATAATGTGCTCTGCAGTGGCACTTAGCTATTAAAAATAGATGCATATGATGGTTAAGTCTGGCAAAACAAAGACAAGAGCTCCATTATTTTGAAGAACTAAAAATAATGTACAAGTATGTCAAAGTGTTGTGGGTAGGAACAAATGATTATATTTACAGAAAATAAATTTAATACATTTTGTAATAAGCATAAAGCTTACTAAGTTACTATTTTATGTGGAAATTTAACCTGAAAAATACACAGTAGTTATTAACCCTAACAACAGTAGCACTAGTTAATAGAATTTACAATAGAATAGAACTAAAGTAGAATTTCACAATTTTTGTTCTTATTATAGCAAAGTCTAGAAAAATTCATATTATATAATATTACCTTATATTGTAATAAAAAAGATGAACGATTATTTTTAAATTTCACATATTGTTTTGTCAGAATATCTAGGAGCATATAATATTTTCTTTTAGTAATTTAGTATCGAACAAGAGAAGAGATGGTACTAGTGAATGTAAAATTTTACTTTTCTTATGGTTTAAAAAATTAATTTATCTTTTTATTTGTATATTGATATATTCCAAAATAATCTGACAGACTTTAAAATTCATATGATATTCAGTCTGATGGCTCTAACCACGTGCCATGGATTAATCTACAAACACATGAGATAGTTAGATGGCAAAGATGTCTGAGGTTGTATTTTATATGTTGGGTGATTGTGATCCTCAGGGTGAAATAATGGAACAAGCAGTGGACTGAGAGTGAGGACAGTGGGTGTCATCTTCTGTCCCTAACACTCCATGTAACATTGGGTCTCTGTTCTCTGTTTTATTACATGTGACTTGGAACTGATTCATGCCTTTTAATTTTTTTTCTCTAAGTGCAATGAAACTTTTTTTTTCTAGTTTCCAAATGGTTTTCTTATTAGGATTGTTTAAAAAATATAGAACACTTGAAGAATTTGTATATAATTCTTGTGCATGGACCATGCTAATCTTCACTGTATCATTCCAGTTTTAGTACTTGTACTGCTCACTTCACTGGCATTGCTTCTGAAGAAGAACCTAGTCTGAGACAAAAAGATTGTAACCGGGTGATGGGTATTAAGGAGGGCACGCGTTGTGATGAGCACTGGGTGTTACACTGAACAAATGAATCGTTGAACACTATGTCGAAAACTAATGATGTACTTTATGTTGGCTAACTCAACATAAAAAAAAATTATTAAAAAAAGATTAAATCCAATCGAATAGATGTTTTCTAAATATCTTTGTACTTGTATGTATTTCTCATCTCTTTAAATCGTAAGAAGTTGAAGTTTAAGATATTTTACCAAGTTAAACATTTTACCAAGTAAAATGTTTCAGGAAAGCTGCTTGTGGGGCATATTTCTGAAAAACGTTCTATTTTCCATTTATTTATTTATTTCTTTCATAATATAAGAACCTTTTCCTGAAGGAATATCTTGGCAGATCTAAATACTACCTGGTGATGGTAGAACACAGCACCGAAGTTATCTCTGCAAAATGCTCATAACTTCTTAGCTCAGTGCAGCACTTCCTTCATTATAGCATAGCTCCTCTAACTTAGCTTTGCAGAATCCATAGGCAGCTTTTACTGACTCCCAATTTTGACTCTATTCTTATAGTTAGTTGGATATGTTGAATGTCTAGTAGAGTTTGGTTGCAGTATTTACCCTTGCCAGTAGAGGGTGATTTATGAATATGCCAAATTACATTATAGTCTAGAATGGTATCTTACGTTACAATATACTATCCCATGTTACACTAAGACATATTATGGTCCTTCTTGAAAATGATCTAATTAGGGACTTCAGATTGTAAGTTATTACCCTCCGTATCAATTAGTAAGCTGGACATTTTGAAAATTTTGCTTTATTTAGCATTAGGCATAGATAAATGGTTTTACCTGTCGTTTTCATTTGAAATCTGATTGTTTTATCACGCTTTTTTTGGATTTTTAAAAATAGCTTGGGCCTCAACTTTCCACTGTAAGTATGGTATTCAATGCAAAAATGCTTGCATGTACAGTGAAAATTCTATTTTGTAATTATGGAAAATCAATTCAACTGAACCTTTAAAAATAATTCGTGTTTCAGGAGCCACTAGAGTTAAGTGAACAAGTATGGGTACTATGCTACAGTAGTTTATTTAACAGTTAACATTTTATATTTGGTTGAATAATTTAAAAAATTTAATATGCTAATATAAATTTCGTATTAAAATGAAAATAAACTAAATATGTTTTCATTTATGTATGGTTCAGAAGGCATATCATCTTTTTAAGGGTATATTGTTATTATAAAACATATTGTTATTATAAAAGGCATATATTACAGAAACACACAGTTTAAGAATATAAATGTCTTCATACTGTCTTTAAATAAATATTACGCATAATATCATTGCTCCTTAAACATAGTTGTTCGACCGAAGCCACGGTGAGGGTCTTGGATGATTGAAGAGGCTGTCTTTAAAATGGCTCAGGCTGAAAGTTTTTCTCTGTACTGCGTACTACTTGCTTTCTGAGTACTTGTGCAGATTCCCACCTTGTTTACTGAGGAGTCGTAGAACTCTTTGGACTCCCATGTATTCACTGATTGAGATGAGGTGGCACTGTATGGAAGCAGAGATGTAAGTCAGACTCTAGTGGAATGACACCGTTCTGCTTCTGCCTTGTTTATCTACCTTTTCTCTGCTTTTCCCAGAGGAGTTTACTCATCAGGGTCTGACAGAATCAGGTCTGACAGAAGCAGAAGGTGGCTAGGCACCCTCAGACCTGCCATGGGGTTGGGCGTAGCATTAAGGCACAGACTGCAGACCTGGGATCTGTTAACTTTCCTAGCTTTTGTTTCCCTACCTTCCCCGCTTTTCACTCTCTCGGTCTTGAGTTCTTCCATGGCCACTTAGATCAAGGGAGCTGTTCACCAGAATACAACCCAAGCCCCTCTTTACTCACTGCTGTACCAGTTCATGGTCCTCTGCCTTGACTTCTCTCTGCAGTGGCCCTAGTTATTCTGCAGGGATAAGCATAGTATCTGGCTTTCCAAGGAAGGGCCTTTGCTTGTCTGGTCCTTAGTATTGTGAGCTCTACCTTTCATGAGGTTGAAACAAAAACTTAACTTCACCATTTTTGAATCTTCGGCAAAACGCTGTGATGTTTTTTCTTGTAGTACATTCCTCTTAGAACTTTGTGCATTGTTTCTGATCATAAACTGGGCTTCTACTTTTCATACCACCTATTCAATTTCTCTGAGTTAGTGTCTGGAAGGGAAAGAGCTAAACTTAATATCTAGTTGTAATAATTATTTAGCCAGTTGTTTGCTAAAGTTATGCTCCACCTCTTCTTATTATGGTTTTTGAGCTTTTCTTTTTGTTGTGATCTTCCTATCATGTAAGAATTTCACTGTGAGCTAAATGTTTTTCAGAATCATGTATCTTCTTGCCTTTCATGGCAATTAATGCTTTGTTCTGTAGTATATACATTTAAATTTAAAATAGTTTGACTACTGTAAAGGGAATCTTATTACCTATAGATTACATATTTTCAAATCTAAATTTGTGCATAACAAAGAATTAATGTAAATTAGGTATAATTTTTTACAGAGTGTAGAAACTTAATACTCACTAAATAGTCAGCTGCGTCACATATTTAAATACTGTGCTGCAGTCTTGTATTTTCTTTCCTTTTTAAATTTTATTTGTTTGAGAGAGAGAGAGAGAGAGAGTGGGGAGGGAGGGTCAGAGGGAGAAGCAGACTCCCCGCTGAGCAGGGAGCCTGACGTGAGGCTCCATCCCAGGACCCTGGATCATGACCTGAGCCGAAGGCAGCCGCTTGACCAACTGAGCCACCCAGGCGCCCTTCCAATCTTATATTTTCTTTTAATGATAAGATTTTACTAGGTAACATGTTCACTGCATTTTCAATTTATATAAGACAGTGTGAACAAATAAGGGCTGAATTATAATACATAGATATTGCAGTAGCAGCTGTCTACATGTTTATACTTTTACTTTTGCTCTAATTTATTTGGCTTTGACAGTTGACTTAACTGTCCACTTAACCTTTTGCAGATTCATGAGATATTTGATTGTCAAGAATGTATGAAGAAATTTATTTCAGCTAACCAGCTAAAACGTCACATGATCACTCACTCAGGTAAAATATATGTTTTTCCGTTTATATTGAAATCACTATGAAAGATTCACTTTGTCATTTTTAGGAGCTCCAAGAGTAGTAATCAGGAAGCCTGGCTCTTAGTTCTAGTTTGGCCATTAACTAGTCATGTGATTTTGAACAAGTTACTTAGCCTCTCTAGACCTGTTTATTTATAAAGCCAAGGTGGTTGGACTAAATGATATCAAAGATCTTCAGAGTCACCATTTAATTTGTAATCTACTCCTCTTGGAGCCTTAGATTCTGTTCTTTATCTGTGAAAAGGTATCCTACCTTTCAAAATTGCTGTGAAGTTTAAATGAGATCATTATGTATTGTGCTAGCATAATGTCTGACTTTTAGGAGGGATTCAGCAATTAGAATTTCTACCTTTCTAGATACTTTCACATTCTAACTAAGGTACTAATAAATGTTAGTGAGAAATTTATAAATACATTTTGAGAATGTAAGTTTTTAAAGCCGTAGTTTCATTTTAGGCAAGTTTGAGTAATAGGGCTGTTAAACAGATTTTTCAAAAATAAGGTCTGAGAATAAATTTTGCTTTATGAAATCTCCTTCTAGAGTTTAGAACATCTATCATTGGAGGCCACTGAAGTCAGAATTTTTTTGAATATCCACTTTGCTTGGAGACAGATACAGATATTTTGACAAATGGAAACAGGAGATCAAACACTGGTGGACTGTTCATATATGCTTTGTTTGAAACAAGCAGTATTTTTTAAATCTAGTGGTCAACATTACATGAACATTGCATAAATATGGATTTTATACAATAACCTAGGTGTGTTGTTTCTGCTGAGAATTGAAGCTGTGCCCATATGGGGTCCACTTGTTCGAGTAGGAGGAAGGTCTGTCATTTACTTTTATCACTGTCAGGCCACTCTTGGCATTCGGGGTTGTGACCCTGGTTTAAACTCACACCTATCAGCAGATTTTTCATCTGGAAGTAGGATTTTTTTCCTTGAATTTAAATTTCATCCTTACATCTAAGCTGCTTTATACACATAGTTGACAGTATAGGTCTATAAAAGAACTAGCTTACATTTCTTTTGTGAATAGGCTCATGTATCTAACAGAAATGGATTGGTAAGTAGATTTTTTTCTCAGTTGTTTCAATCATGTTTTAGTTGACTTATCCATAAGAAGTAATATAAGGTAAGGCTATTTCCATTTTTATCCTTTACCTTTATATAGATGTGAGATTGTCTCCACTCATTTTTCACAGAAAAACGACCCTATAATTGTGAGATTTGTAATAAATCTTTCAAGAGGCTCGATCAAGTGGGCGCCCACAAAGTAATACACAGCGAAGATAAGCCTTACAAATGCAAGCTTTGTGGAAAGGGATTTGCCCACAGAAATGTTTACAAGAATCACAAGAAGGTAAAACCTTATTCATATTATTATTACTGTTTTTGCTGATTTGTCGATTTGATTTCTAGCTGTTTTTTTTTAAAGAGGTTTTTGTATATCTGGACATGTTGTACATGTGGACTAACTAGAGGACAATTTTGCTTATATGTTCTACTCCCCCACTCAGGCCATAACCCCACCTGGCCTTATTTCCTGTTTTCCATCCTCTGTTGAAACTCTTCTTATAAGCAAAGTGTCATCCAGTGTTTCCCAGTGCTGTACTAATTGCAAAGTCTTTTCTTCTTTTCCTTTTTTCTCTAAAATTTGACACTCTTGTTCATGGTAGCTTTTTTGAAATTCTCTTCATCTTTGATATATAATTGGCTAGGTGTTCCACCAATTTCTCTGGACACTTTCATCTCTCCTCACCCAGGAGGTTATCCTGGATGCGTTGGCTGTGGACCTCTTTTAGATTCTCTGCATCAGCTACATCCATGACTTCTGCCATCAACTCTATAACCAGCAAATCCTAAATGATTTCTTTCTTTAACCCAGGCTTCAGACTCACATTTATTTTTCTTTATTTGATACAAAACTGTATATCTTTTTGACCTAATGAATTTAGCATGTCCCAGAATGACCTTTTTATTCTTTATGCCCCAGATAACCTCTCTTTTGGAATTTCTTCTTTTTGTTAATGACAGAAGCATATATTTATTCCTGTCTGTTTCTTTAGTCTTAGACCCTTTTTAAAATTAGAAGCCAGTTCTTTTTTTAAATTATTTTAATTTTATTTATTTATTTATTTATTTATTTATTTATTTATTTTGAGAGAGAGAAAGAGAGTGAGCAGGAGAAGGGACAAAGGGAGAGGGACAGAGAGAATCCTTAAGCAGGCTCCATCCCCAGTGTGGAGCCTGACAGGGGGCTTGATCTCACAACCCTGAGATTATGACCTGAGCTGAAATCAAGAGTTGGAAGCCCAACTGACTGAGCTACCCAGGCACCCCTAGAAGTCAATTTTTAAAGATTCTACCCTCTACATTGGCTCATCACCCTCATTCCTTTACCATCCTATATCCTGATTATTGCTCATCTTCATTACTTTAATACCCATCTAATCAGATTCTTATTACTTGTCACTTTCCACTTACCCATCCTCCTAGATAAATGGTTCCACAGTGCAACTCTATCACTCTTGTACTCTAATATTATGAGTAGATTTCCAATGCCTATGTAAGTTACGGTATATGCATGTTAGCCTGTCATTCAGAGTTCTCTACCCATGACCTCAGCTTTTCTAGATTTTTAGCCTTTTCTCTGCATTAGTCATACCTAAGACAACTTGGCATTTGCTTTCAGTCAGCATGACCTAACTTCCCCTTCTTCTTTTCTTTAAATTTTTAATTTAATTTTATTTTTAACTAAACTCTACACCCAATGTGGGGATTGAACTCATAACCTGAGATTAAGAGTCATCATGCTCTACTGACTGAGTCAGCCAGGTGCCCTACCCCTTCCTCTTTTCTGATAGGACTCCAAGTTATGATCTCTTAGTTTTCTTAATTTTTGTTTGCATTTCCTGTGCTTTACCTTTACTCTGGTTCTTGTTTCAGAATGTATTAGTTTTATTTATCTACTCTGCGTTGATAATAAATAATGTTTGCGTTGAATTCAGAATATTTGTCCAAAGACATTCAACATCTAAATAATGCATATTAAGATGTATTTATGATGTGATAAATAATTAATTATTGAGTTTTTAAGAAAGGTTTTATTGAAGTATAAATGGCATACAGTATTATTAGTTTAGTGTATACAAATAGTGATTTAACATTTATGTACGTTGTAAACTGATTACCACAGTAAGTCTACCATCTGTCATTGTACAAAGTTAGTACAATATTGACTGTATTCCTTATACTGTACATTATATCCCCATCACCTATTCATTTTATAACTGGAAATTTGTGTCTCTTGATTCCCTTCACCTATACCACCCCCTTAGCCCCCTCACCTTTTGGCAACCACCACTCAGTTCTCTATCTATGAATCTGGATTTTGTTTTGTTCTATTTGTTAGTTAGTTGTCTTTTTTTTTTTGGCTTCCATTTAATAAGTGAAATTATGAAGTATTTGTCTTTCTCTCTTTGACTTATCTCATTAGCCTAATACCCTCAAGGTCCATCCATGTTTTCACGAATGACAAGATTTCATTCTTTTCTGTGGCTGAATAATATTCCATTGTATACACATGTACTGCATGTTCTATATATATTTATCTATCGATGGACACTTAGGTTGTTTCCATATCTTGACTACTGTAAATAATCATGCAATGAATGTAGGGGTGCATATATTTTTTTTTAATTAGTGTTTTGTTTACTTTGGATAGATACCCATATGTGGAATTGCTGGATAATATGGTAGTTTTTAATTTTTTGAAGAAATTTAGTACTGTTTTCCATAGTGGTTGCACCAGTTTACATTCACACCAACAGTGTATGGGTTTTTTTTTTTTTTCTACATCCTTGCCAACACTCGTTATTTCTTGTCATTCTGATGATAGCTATTCTGATAGGTGTGAGGTAATAGCTCCCTGTGACTTTGATTTGCATTTCCCTGATGATTAGTGATGTTGAGCATCTCTTCCTGTTGGCCATCTGTATGTCTTCTTTGGAAAAATGTCTGTTTAGATCCTTTGCCTATTTTTTAATGGGATTTTGTTGTTACTGAGTTGTATGTGTTTATTATATATTTTGGATATTAACCTTTTATCAGATATATGATTTGCATATATCTTCCCCCATTCAGTAGGTTGTTCATTTTGTTGATGGTTTTCTTTGCTGTGCAGAGGTTCTTTAGTTTGATGTAGTCGTATTTGTTTATTTTTGCTTTTGTTGCCCTTGTCTTTGGAGCCATATCCAAAAAACATTGCTAAGACCGATGTCAAGGAGCTTACTGCTTATGTTTTCTTTTAGGAGTTTTATGGTTTCAGGTCTTACATTCAAGTCTTCAATCCATTTTAAATTAATTTTTGAATATTGGGTAAGATAGCAGTCTAATTTCATCCTTTTGTATGTGGCTGTCCAGTTTTCCCACTACTATTGATTGAACAGACTGTTCTTTTCCCATTGTATATGCTTGCCTCCCCTGTCATAAATTAATTGACCATATATGCATGGGTTTATTTCTGGACTGTCTATTCTGTTCCATTGATCTATGTGTCTATTGTTTTGTTAATATATTGTTATGATTATATAGCTTTGCAGTATAGTTTGAAATTTGGGAATGTGATACCTCTAACTTTGTTCTTCTTTATCCAGATTGCTTTGGCTATTTGAAGTCTGTAGTTCCATAAAATTTTAGAATTATTGTTTCTACTTCTGCGAAAAATGCCATTGGAATTTTGGTAGGGATTGCATTGAACCTATAGATTGCTTTGGGTAGTATGGACGTTTTAGCAGTATTAATTCTTCCAATCCATGAGCATGGCATATCTTTCCATTTATTTGTGTCTTCAGCTTTTTTCATCAATGTGTTAATAGTTTTCCGAGTACAGGCCTTTTGCCTCTTTGGTTAAATTTACTCCTAGGAATTACATTCTTTTTGATGCAGTTGTAAATGGGATTGTTTTCTTGATTTCTCTTTCTTATAGTTTCTTATTAGTGTGTGAAAATGCAGTGGAATTTTGTGTGTTAATGTTGTATCTTGAAACTTTATTGAATTCATTTCTTAGTTCTAACAGCTTTACTGGTGAAGTCTTTGGGGTTTTCTATATATAGTATCATGTCATCTACAAATAATGACAGATTTACTTCTTCCTTTCAATCTGGATGCCTTTTAGTTCTCTTTCTTACTAAATTGCTTTGGCTAGAACTTCCAATATTATGTTGAATAAAAGCAGAGAGAGTAGACATCCTTGTCTTGTTCCTGATTTTAAAGGAAAACTTTCAGCTTTTCATCACTGAGTTTGATATTAGCTGTGGACTAGTTATATATGGGCTTTATTATGTTGAGCTACATTCCTTCTATACCCACTTTGTTGAGAATTTTTATCATAAGTGAATGTTGAATTTTGTCAAATGCTTTTTCTTCATCTCTTTGAGATGAGCATATAATTTTTATCTTTCATTTTGTTAATGTGGTTTATCATGTTGATTGATTTGTGAATATTGAAACCATCCTTGCATCTCTGGAGTAAATCCACTTGATCATGGTATATGACCTTCTTAATGTGTTGTTGAATTCAGTTTGCTAATATTTTGTTGAGGATTTTTTCATCTATTTTTTTTTCTGTTATATTGGCTCATATTTTTTTTTTCTCTCCTCCTCCTACACTTCCTTCTCTTCTTCTTTTTTTTGTGGTGTCCTTGTCTAGTTTGGGTATCAGGGTAATATTGTCTTTGTAAAAGGGTTTGGAAGCATTCCCTCCTCTTCAATTTTTTTTTTTTTTTTTTGGAAGAGTTTGAGAATGATAGGTATTAAATCTTTGAATGTTTGGTAGAATTCACCAGTGATGCCATCTTGTCCTGGACTTTTGTTTGTTGAGAAGTTTTGATTACCGATTCAGTCTTCTTACTGTAATTGGTCTATTTAGATTTTTTATTCATGATTTGGTCTTTTTTAAAAGTTTATTTATGGGAATTTATCTATGTCTTCTAGATTATCCAATTTTTTGACATGTAATTCTTTTTGTAGTTGTATGATGATTTGCATTTCTGTGGTATCAGTTTTAACTTCTCCTCTTTCTGATTTTATTTCTAAGAATCTTCTCAGCCTCTATTTCACTGACTTCCATTCTGATCTTTATTATTTCCTTTCTTCTACTAGCTTTAGGTTTCATTTGTTCTTCTGTTTTTGGTATCTTTTTTCTTTTTCTAATGGTTGGGAAAGATGCTTGATATGATTTCAGTCTTTCTGAATTTTTTGAGACTTGCTTTGTGGCCTAACATGGGATCTATCCTGGAGAATATTCTATGTGCACCTGAGAAGAATGTGTATGTATCTGCTTTTGGATGAAAGGTTCTA